CAAGTAAGATCCTTGGATTTGGATAATGTTAGAAAAGAGTTCCAGATCCAACGACTAAGTTTCTCCTCACCACTCACACACCTCCACCAAGGCATGGAGTGGACCAATAGAACCAGTGGTGATTCACAATTAGATTTACTCATTGTATTTTAGAAGAAAACAGGAAGTAAAAATTCAAGTTTCTAATAGCAAGAAAAGGACTAAACAACGACATCTTTTCAATCATACCTGTAGCTAAAGATCCAGGATTTATTCTTAAGTCATAGCCTCCAAATCCCCTCTCTGCATACGTGTGCATGCGTGTGCACACATGGAACATGCTTTAATAAGAAAATGAGGTATTCCATTCAATTTTAACCCAAAACAAGGCCAGCTGGGTTAAGATAATTGAGCAAGGAGGACAGATTTAAAAACCAAATGCACTTCCTCGCAGATGACTATTCAATTCAATTGCCAGTGAGTTGTTGAATGTTCTTTTCTGAATCACCCTAATTCGATGTACAGTACAGCATGTACTGCCTGGGAAGAAGTTCAAATCATAAATACTGTAGGGAAATATCTAATAACTTGGAATGGCTTTTCAAGTGGCTAATAAGCTCGCAAAGACTGCAAAAATGTTAAATCTGGTAAAGCATGAGCTCGGTGCTCCAAGGAGAGCACACTTCACTGTAGCCCCTGCTTCCTTGCTCCAGGACTAGCTGGGGCTGGGTCTCCAGGGTCTGGCACACAGCATGGCTCTTTGGATGCGTATGACAGGGGGCCTCTTCCCTGCAGACTGTGGTCATCAAGGTGAAGGCTGCCGGCCACAGTCATAACAGCTGAGCTGATCTGTGATTTCTGCCTCTCCTGCCAATGTAGGGGCTGGGTTTGCCGACGTGTTTGTGTTGGTGTGCAAGATGCTGGAGAGAGGCCATCTGCCCTGCGTGTCAGATTCCAGATTCCATATGGTTACAGCAGGGTTCAGGAGAAGTATCCACAGAGCTAGGCACAGGATTAGAATAAAGAGGTGCTAATGGTGTGCAGTTGGGAAGGCAAAGGAAACTGTGGGGAACTCAATGGAAAAAGAGGGTGGAAGAAAATTAAAGAGTGATCAGGAGAAATAAAGGAAAATACAAGGAAAAAAGACAAACATCACTGTTGTTTTAAAGGTCAAAGAGTAACAATAATATAGAAAGACTCTCTCACTCTGCCAGGTTCAACAGAATTTTGCCTTCATCAGAAAAGTTCATGCACTGGGTTCTTGGGCTCTTCCAGGGTATAGGGGTGTCCTCCAATCACACCCACACTGAAACGGACACTTTTTCTGCAGACTCTACACACCTCCAAGTCCCACCCACTTTACACAGGGGTTTTACTTATGTGTTAGATTGCCTTCCCTTTTTTTCTAGCACTCATTTCCAAAGTGGAACCTCTCCACTTGTCTTTGTGTACAAGCACAAGTCCGTTAACTATAGGTTCTTGTGAAAGACTCATGACAACTACTAGATCCTGCTCTGCAATAATTCAAATGTTATTGTCCAAATACATTTACAGAGTACATATTCAGAGGCTGAATAGCTGTATCTAGTATGTGTGTGTGTATACACAAATAAGTATGTGTATGCATAGGTTTTTTTTTTTTTTTTTTTTTTTTTTTTTTGTGGTGGTACTGGGGATTAGACACAGGGGTGCTACATCTCCAGCCCTTTTTATTTTATTTTGTGACATGGTTTCACTAAGTTGCCCAGGCTGATTTCAAACTTTTCTTCTTCTTCTTCTTCTTTTTTTTTTTTTTTTTGTGGTGCTGGGGAATTGAACCCAAGGCCATGTGCATGCGAGGCAAGCACTCTGCCAACTAAACTATATCCTCAGCTGGTTTCAAACTTTCAATCCTCCTGCCTCAGTCTCCTGGGTCCCTGGGATTATGGGTGTGCAACACTGTGTCTGATGTACGTATATAACCTTTAGGATTTGCAAAAAGTTTTTATTTTTCTTTTTTAATTTGTTCTTTTGAGTTATACATGACAGTGGAATCTATTTTGATATATTTATACAAGCATGGAATATAACTTATTCTAATTAGGATCCCAGTCTTGTGGATGTACATGATGGTAAGACTCATTGTGGTATATTAATATATGAACATAGGAATGTTATGCCTGATTAATTCCGCTGTCTTTCCTAGTCATATCCAACCCCCTTCCCTTCACTCCCCTTTGTATAATCCACTGAGCATCCCTCCACCACCCCCCATTGTGGGTTAGCATCCACATATCAGAAAAAACACTCAACCTTTGGTTTTTAGGGTTTAGATTATTTCACTTAGCATGATAGTCTCCAGATCCTTCCATTTACTAACAAATGTCATAAAGTCATTCTTCTTTGTGGCTAACACTCCATTGTGTATATCTGCCACAATTTCTTTATCCATTTATCTCTTGGTGGGTATCTAGGTTGGTTGCATAGTTTAGCCATTGTGAATTGTGCTGCTATAAAATTGATGTGGCCATGTCACTATAGTTTGCCGATTTTAACTCCTTTGGATATATACTGAGGAGTGGGATAGCTGGGTCAGATGGTGCTCCATTCTTAGTTTTCTGAGGAACGTTCATACTGTTTTCCAGAGTGGTTGTGCTAGTTTGCAGCAGTCTCATCAGCAGTATACAAGCGTTCCTTTCTTTCCACAACCTCACCAGCATTTATTGTTCATAATCTTGATTCTTGCCATTCTAACTGGAGATGAAATCTCTGTAGTTTTAATTTGCATTTCTCTAATTGCTAGGGATGTTGAATATTTTTTCATAGATTTGTTGACCATATTTTTTCTTTTAAGAAATGTCTGTCTAGTTCCTTTGCTTATTTATTGATTGGATTTTTCTTTGTGTATGTGTGTGTGTGTGTGTGTGTGTTATATTTTTTGAGTTCTTTGTATAGGATTTGCAAGAATTCTGAAATCTATTGTCAAACATATTTCTTTAGCCAAACAATAAAAACTCATGATGATTCACTTTCGTGTGTCCTCTGGTCCTCTTTAGGTAACAATAAAGGGTCAGATGGTTCAGAATAAATGAAAACAAACAATCTGACAAACAAAACCAGCCTAGAGGAGACACCTAGGCATTTCCTTTCTAGGCTCTAAGGCAAATTCCAGGGCTGTCATGTCTTTTATCAATTTCATTTTCTCATCTGGTTATAGAAATTCCACTCATTCTTTGAGTCCACTTCCCATGACTTCATAGTCAGGATGAGACTAGAAGTGGGTGGGATAGAAGAGAGAGCAGTGGCCAGGGAGAAAACCTCGTCCTTGCCACCTTGGTGCCAAGGAGAGTGCCTGGTGATTGGGAAGGTGCTAGATAAATCCACGTTGAATGGACGAATAGTACACAGGAGATGTAATGTGTGCTAAGAGCTAGGCTGGATGCTGAGTAGCTGAACAATTAGGCAATGAAAAAAGTCCAATATGAGTTGTTCCCATAGAGTCTTCTGCATTTTTAAAGGATGCAGAATCCTTGAGTTTTTGGCTTTTAACCCTTTTTCTTTGGAGTTCTTTGGAGGTGCTGTGGGTCCACTTTGAGTGAAGGGGAGGCTCCATGTATGGGACCCACATCATGTATCTCTCATGACACATGAGAAAGCCTGTACAATGGCAAGTCCTTTCTTCTTTGGTGCCACATGTTTGTGACTGTGTGATTGACTGATTGATAGGTTTGAGGAAAGGCTGCCAATACCCAAGACACCCAATAAGATTCCTTTTTGCAGTGAGCACTTCCTTAAGGCCTTCAGCATTGGGATGGATTTTCATTCTTAATTTTCCAAGGAGCATATTAAATCAACGTAACAAGCCTGGATTTGTTCTCCCTCCCATATTCTGTCTTTCACTCAAATACATTTAAGAGTTTGACAAAGCAAAGGGGGCTTGGTGCAAAAGCCAAATGCTTTGTGAAACTCCTGCATAAGGCAAGAAACACAAGTTGAGCTTAAGAAACCTGGAAAACTGCCATAACAAGAGCCCAGTCTAGTTAGAAAAGGTAGGCATACCTTAACATGATCCGCAGAACCACAAACCAAAACACATTCACCTCACCTCAGAGAAGATTGAGAGGCCAAGAGGTAACAATGGTCAATGTAACACGGTACCATGCATGCTCCAGTAAAATGACCGCAAGGACAGAGGCAGAACTGATTTCACACAGTTCATCTTCTAACAACCCAGGAGCTCACTCCAGAGCATGTGAGTCACAAGGCCATGAAAGCTGGGCTGGGATGGAAACAACACACACCAAGATCTGCACTCACTGGCAGAAATTTCACTGGAACAGGCCAAACACACACATTTACCAGTGTGCGCGCTCCCTCCTGGCCACTCAGACTCTAACATTTATTTCCTTGTCCTCCAAGACAAAGTAATTTAGGGGGAGTCAATGGTTACCGCTTGAAAATGTGTAGCAAAGGCTATTTTTTTCCTCTGAGATATTATCAGTAGTTTCTTATAAGCTTCTTCCAGCTAGGGTTGCACATTTCCATGAAAGTTCTGATTTGGTAGGCAGAAATTTAGTACAGTCATGTACTATATATCATTTTGGTCAATGGTAGACCACACGTACAACGTCTTAGTCATGTAAGATTATAACGGCACTGAAAAATTCCTATCACCCAGTGACATTGTAGCTGCTGAGATGCTGTAGCAAAATGGATAACAACTCAGATGTTTGCGGTGATGCTGGTGGAGGCAACCTACTGTGCTGCCAATCACATAAAAGCACAAACATGCAATTGTGTACAGTATATAGTGCTTGTTAATGAGAATAATGGCTATGTTACTCGTTTATGTATTTCACTTTTCAGAATGTGTTCCTGTTGTAAAGTAGCACATGATAATTTTGAACAAGCAGAAACCACTCAGTAACGGTAACAGAACATGGCGGAGTCTAGCATTAGGTGTGACAACCCTCCCGGCCCCCCCGTGTGCTCTGCTGCTGCCCCCAATCCTGTGGGGCTAAGCTAAGGACAGAGCTCCTTACCGTGACTGGCATGGGTGTGTGTTGCACCTTCGGACCTGGGGCTCAGGGCGGCTGGCTTGAGGGCAATCGCTGTCATTCACCAGAGTCGTGGTCTTATTAACTATCCGTGTGCATGACACGATGGTTCTGCGTTCCCCTGGAAACCAAAACATAGGGGTGAGAGAGGTTATGGCTGCACACACCTGGAGAGGCCATTCATTCACATGTACAGAGGAGTGTTTGGGGGCAATTGTTGATCAGTGTGTCCTTTAAAATGGTGTCATATTGGAAGTGCGTGTGTGTGTGTGTGTGTGTGTGTGTGAGAGAGAGAGAGAGAGAGAGAGAGAGAGAGAGAGAGAGAGAGAGAGAGAGAGAGAACACTGTCATCTAAGGGTTGAGGTGTATAAGACATGTGGCAGGGGCAGTATGGGACAGGAGAGGCCAGAACAAGATCAGAAAGCAGCAACACCTCAGATCAGCTGTGTCCTTGGAAACATCTTGATACACTGAAGCCAAAGTTTTGATTTGGGTCTTTCATTTCCATCAAAGACTGCCAATCATTTGATGTGCTGATCAGGGTGGCTGGTGTGAAGGACACGCAGACTTGCATCCCCCTGGCAGGCATTCCAGGGCTGATCTGCACTTGTCCACTTGGACAACTGGTAGACTTGTGCATCACGTGTTCCTTGGTAGTTTTGTAAACCCATTAGCCTTCCTTGGGTATTCCCAAAACACCCTAAACACTGTGTGGCACAACTTTGTCAGGGAGGCTGAATGATTGGCAGTTAGGAGGGTGGCTCTGAAGCCAGGCTATGCAGGTTCAAGTCCTGGCTCTGTCATGAATAATGTCATAGTGAATCATGGTGTCAGAAGTTGGCTGTCGTGCTTCTGTGTCTTGGGTTCCTCCAATGGGCTGCTTCGCCTAACCTCCTGATGCCTTGGGGTGCCTCAGAGCTGTTAGAGTGAATTAATATAAATAAAGTAGTAGAATGGAACATGGCAGGAGGTTAACACTTCATCTGCTATATTGATGTCATCCTTATTATTTGGGAAGAGTGACAATAAAAGATTAATAGGGAGCCAAGTACAACTCTTTGGATCACAGACTCCTTGCAGGATGTCTTTGGGGGAAATCTGTCATGAAGGAATGAAATAAATATTATGGAGTCCTGAGTTTCTCTGTGGGTTCCCACTGCCCACAACTGCAGCCTTGTGTGACTATGAAAGCTCAGAGCTCCTCCGGCCAGCTTTCAGGTTTGGCACCAGGTCTGACAACTGTAGGCAACTGGAAGTCATCAGTGTCATAAAGGAATTGCCATCAAGCCAGGAGTGATGGTGACAGAACAGGTCTCCTGGCCCAGCAGAGCTCGATCACTGTTCCATCTGGGTGTTTAGTGTGCAGTGAGCCACCCAGCAGGAAAGGTCTGGTGGCAGTCAAAGGTATAGGTGTTGGCTGCTGGATTTGGAGGTTGGAAGACCAGTGGCTGAAGCCCTGAGGGAAAAGGGGGTTCTTGGGGAGAGATGCAAAGTAGGAGGACCACAGAGCTCATGGTGGACCCCCCCCAAGGATATACCAACTGTCATGGGCTCTTTGAGAAGGAGGCTGAGAACAAAATGGGAAGTTACCCAAGATGCACAGAAAGGAATTCACAGTTGATGCTGGCAGTGTCTTATGGGCTTAATCTAAATGCTGTGGCTCAATTTCCTACCTAGGAAAAATGGATGAAGTACTTAGATGGTAAACAATCCCCTACACAATGGGTTTCTGATCAAGGGTATCTTAGCAGTCAGTAGCCATTCAGCATGGAGATAGGTGAGGCAATACCTGGGTTCTACTCTGCCATGACTGCCACCCAGAGTCCTGGTCAACTTTCTATCCTAAATCTGTGCCCATCAGAACCCACCAATCCTGTGTCCCATCTCTCATAACCCTGTGGTAAACTACAGTGTACAAAGGGGCTGCTGGCTGAGAGTTCAGAAGAGCTTCCTACTGCTCCTTCTAGAGGACCCAGTAATAAACAAAATGCCTTTTGGTCAAATCAGTTCTTGGAGCAGGACAGTCACTGGCTCATCCTGCAGTATCCATAATGGATGAGAGGGGCAATCATCTCTATAGGTGAAGAAATTTAGGTGTTGAGAGGCAAGTCATTTGCTGAGATAGGATGAGAAGCTGTGCAGTCAGCTCAGAATATTTTACCCAACCTGTAGGGGTTCGTTCTGTAGGGGGTTACTGAGGCAAAGAGCAAAGGGTATCTGGGAGCAGGCAGAGACGTTGTCTGGTGCTCTTCCACCAGGTGATAATAGTTGAAGGTCTATCCTGTTCATTCACAGGGTCAACCTGTCATACCTGTAATGCAGCCATGCACTGGCCTAATCTCTACTCCTAGGTCCATGCCACAGGGAAAGGAGCAGTCTCCATACATTAATGTATAGGCACTGAGAAGGCCCTACTCAAGTGTTCTGCAGACAGTTCTTGGTGGGACTTGGGTAAGTTCCCATGGAAATGCAGGGACCTCCCCATGCTCTCAGTGCTGGCTGCAGAGGCCCCTGGGTCTACTACTTCTTCATTCAGCACAACTGCACACCCCACCAGCCCACTGCTCGGCCCTCACCTCCTCCACACTGCACGCTGCACCCTTCCCAGCCGCTGTGGGTCCAGATGAACAAAGCGTCCTGTGGCTTTGCTGGTTCACTTTGATTTTCAGCGGTGTAGTTTACAGGAATGGTGTATTCGTAATGAATTCCATAATTCTGGTCATGAAATAACAGCACCTGGGTCAGTGGCAAAATAAAAGGGCCATGTTGAAATGGACCAGGAGCCCACAAAGTTGCCAAGTGTGCAAACCAGGCCACCTTGTAGCTGTTTCTCTTCAAGRGGTAGAAAACAGGTTCAGTCTAAGGGGTGCTCCTTTATCTCAACCTTGGATTCCTCAAGGCGTGGGGTAAATGCACATCATCATAGGGGACCTGTGTACATGAGGAGTTTGGCACTGAACAATTCTATAGATTCTTTGTGGCACTATTCCCAGAGAGCTGGTCCATTCAGAGCAAAGCCCATGTTTGCCCATGTTTGCCCATGTTTCTACAATGCTGTCCTTGCACACATGAAAGATACACATACACTACGTTCGCCCAAAAGATATCTAAACACAGAGGATTACTCTATTTCTTTAAAAATGAGCACTGTGTCAGGCATGGTGGTGCCTGCCTGTAATCCCACTGCTGGCTGAGAAAGGAGGATCCCAAGTTCAAAGCCAGCTTCAGCCATGTAGCAAGGCCCTATGCAACTTTGTGAGACCCTGTCTCAAAATAAAAAGGGCTGGGGATGTGGCTCAGTGGTTAAGTACCCTTGGGTTCAATCCCTGGTATTAAAAAAAAAAAAAGTACTGCTCTTTGTTTCTTTGTTCCCAAATCACTAGTTAGTGGTGTGTTTCAACTGGAGCATTTGGGCAGAAGACAAGTTCAAGAAGTGCAGCCCCCCATACCTGCCCCAGAACAGTTTTGGGGACATCTAGGTCCAAGGAAGTGTTAGCCTTCCTATTGCCATGGGAATGGTATGATGACTGTGCCCATGGGGTGGCAGAGATTTAGCTCCAGGGTTAAAGTTGATAGTGGGTGGAGGTGCAGGAAGGGATCTATAATATTTTGTGGGGACCATCAAGCAGCTCCGGGACCTATGCCTAGTGAGTGTGCAAAATGGAGGTATTTGTGCTTTGGGAATGCAGGTGGCAAGTCCTTAAGGCCAGCAGGTGCATTATTGACTTTATTTCTCTAGACATAATGTAACAAAACATGTCCTGGAGTAGCAGATTAAAGTGGCCTGACTGCAGATGATGTATCTTTAATCTAAGCTTGGAACCAGCAAATGCTCCTGGGGCTGAGCAGCTAGCAAATTCACTTCCAGCCAGCAGCCAGAGAGGCTCAGGAGAAAAGCCAGCAGGAGCCCAAGACAGGGAGTGCCTGGCCCACCTGCCTAAACTTGGGGTAAGCCAGGTCGAAAGTTCACTCAAGGAAAGAAGCCATCATTCCCAAGCCTCTACTGGCTTCCAAGGCTGAGTGGGGGATGGGGTGGGAGTGCTAAGAGCAAACCCAACTGCATAAACATCCCCTCTCCAACAAACAGTCTTCAGTAATGTATTTGGAAAAATGCCTCCAGTTCAAAAAAATTCAAAAAATTGTTTAAAACTAGTCTTTAAAAGAGATCTTTATTATCTCAGTGTGGGAATAAGACTGGCAAATCGAAAATCCATATGAAACCAATTTCATGCAATTTTGTAGCCACGTATAATTGGTGTGTGCATGTGTATAATTGGTTTCAAATGCAGGTCCTTGAGATTCTGTGGGTGCTCCTAATTCTACAAGAAACATGCATATCCCAGTTTTGGGACCAGGGCTTTCTACACAGAAGCAAAGGGGTACCCTTCATTTCTAAATTTCAGAACTGGAAGTGGCAATCATTATTTCAAGAAAGAAAAGAAATGAATATTAAACAAGGGCTGGAACTTCAGCCACGCAGGATTTGCTGTTTCTGAGTTTTGTTTCTTGGGTTCTGAAGGATGCCAGGCTGTATTCTTGCTTTAATGGGTGACAACCTGCTCAGTTTGCAAAGCTTCTGGTAAAGAAGGAAATGCACTCATCTTGGTGCTTGCTAGAGGGAATAAACTCAGGGGCTAATGGGTGATGTTTGTGTTTGGATTTCATCCTGTCTTTTGCTTCCTCTCAACTCCTCTGAATACCTGTTTTAAACGTGGAATACAAGGACTTGTTCTAATGACTTTAACTAGGAAACAATCTCAAAACAGAACAATGGCTACAGTGTGGGTTCTTGGGTTCCAGATACCTACTTGCAGGAATACATTTGAAATAGATTTTGTGAGCTAAGAGTTGCACAGGCACAAGTGGAAACCCACTGGCTTGTGTCTCGTTAGAAACTGTAACAGGGTTAGTGCCACCATCATGGAGCAACACCTGCACTGGGTGCTAGTGTTCACAGCGGACTCCAGGAGGTCTCTGGGGTGGTTTCACCTAACCTCAAACAACTGTAGATTGCTGGGGATCACAAATCAATGGGAAAAGAACTTCCAGTCAGAGACTCTGCTAGGCACTGAGGACAAATGTACTTTGAAGACAGATGCATAGGCTGCCACAAGTCCTGTTCTTTGGAAAGAGACACATATTCAGTAATTATGAGCTAGCAGAAGCTAGGCATGAGACTCCTAAACCCGGAGATGAAAACAGTGGCATGAATTTCCCTGGAGATACCTACCCCATTTAAGAAGGTACAGAGCCAATGATTAAATGGCTTACATGGTGTCCCCTGGAAACAATAGGTAAGACAAGGACACCCTGGTCCAGTACACAAGTTTCTTGAGACCCCCTGGGAAATAATATATCGACAGAACCCGATTTTCCTTCTCAGTTCCAAATATTCATTACAAGCTGAGAGAGGCCAGATTGGACATTGAATTGACCGTTCATTTCCAAAAGGCAGTTTTCAACTGCAGGGCATCCTGCCATCTGTTCTGTTTTGGCAGTACTGGGGATCAAACCCAGGGCCTTGATGGTGCTAGACAAGCATTCTACCACCAAGTTACTCCCCCAGCCCCTGCATCCCACCATCTGACATAACAATTTGCATGGGCTAGCTGCTTCATGATGCCGAGTTTCCCATGTGGAGGAGCAATTCCTGGTTGGAGACAGCTCCTTTAGGAAAAGGTAAGTGCTCTGCTGGTGAAGGCAAGGAGGAAGCTTCAAGAAGGGAATTCTGAAGCACGTGGTGGAAGGGATTAGTTAAGAAAAGACCCCCAAAAGGAGAAAGGCCTGAATAGTCCATGGCCTCATAAAACCTGGGAGCTGGATGTATCTGCTTCCTTCAGGTTCCAGGAAGAAGTGGCCTGGTAGAATTTTTGGAGCCAGAATCTTAGGACAAAGGTGCAAGCCTGGCAAGTTACCATCAAATGCAGCGGTAGTTTGGTTGGTCCCTTGGCAGAAATCTTCTCCCACAGGCCCCTTCTCACATAGCGGACAGTCGTGCCAGCAATCTGGAACTCTCCAGGGAGCTCTATCTTCCAGTCACTGTTGATGGATCTCTTACTGGAGTCTTTGAGAGCTAGAAAGGAAAAGGAACACTAAGGAATCAGCAGGGTGGAGGGATCCAACTAGGCTTTAAAGGAACCTGAGTGCAGAGTGGGTCACAGGTCTCTCCCTCCTCAGGGGAAGAAGGGAGACCCACAATGAGAGTCCCTGAGCTTCCTGCACAGTAAGAACAAGGGCCCTGCTCACAGAGCAAGCACTCCAGGCCCAAGGAAGGGAGAGCCCTGGGGCTGATAATATTCAGATACAAAAAGGAAGGAAATCATCCATTCATCTTACTGTTACCTACCTGGAACTTTTCACGGCAGGGTTGGGGGGGCAGTGGAGGATGGGGACATCCATAACCCATTCTATTGTGCTAAACTGATGTGTTAACAGTTTTCTGAGAAATTACTTTATTTTAATGTGTTCAAGGCTACAACATGTGTTTTGCAGCTTCAGCCAAATTCATTCATTCGTTAAAAAAAACTAAAAAAAATTAACATATATTAATTATATGTGTTAATGGGGGTCTGTGTGATATTTCAATATATGCATACAGCATGCATTGATCAAATCCAGCCACCCTTTATACATCTGTCCCCTTTCCCAATCTCTTGTAATTGCTTATCTACATTCAGGTCATTTTATCTTTTAAGCTTCCACATATGAAAGAGAATATGAGTATTTATCTTCTGTGCCTGACTTATTTCACTTGACATAATGTCTTCCAGTTCTGCCACTTTGCTGCTAATGACAAGCAAGAAATGGGCAAATGACATGAAGAGACACTTCTTCAAGAAATATAAATGGCAAAAAATATGTGAAAATGCTCAAAATCATTAGTCTTGAGGGAAGTTTAGCTAAAAAACTACAACGAGAGACCATCCTGCACCAGTCAGGATGGCAACTAGCAAAACACAAAAACCCCAAACCAAATAACCACTGCTGGTGAAGATGTGGAGAAAAAGGAGCTCTTACACACTGTTGGTGGGAATGTAAATTATTCAGCAGTGATGTTTTGAAAACTAAAGTGTTTCCTCAAAAAACTAAAAGCAGACCCATCATACTGCTATTCCATTTCCTGGATCTATATCCAAAGGAAATGAGGTCAGCATACCAAAGATACCCGCAAACCCATGTTTACTGCAGCACCCTTTCAAAGACAGAATCCACCTAGGTGCCAATCAATGAATGAATGCATAATGAAAATGTGGTCCATATTCACAATGGAATAATATTCAGCTACAAAAAAGGAAGGAAACCATCCATTTATTCTACTGTTACCTACCTGGGGTCTTTGAAGGAGGGCAGCTTAACAACTCCAACACCTCTTAAGGATTTGATACCCCCACCCTGGTGAAGCGGACATTCTTTCAGGAAACAATTGTTATTCTAGTAAATATTTATACTTGGCAACTCCAGCTGCTCACAGCTGTGGGGGTGGGCTGGGGTTGAGCATGGTGGAGGGTCCTGCCTCCCTGGGCTTCTGGTTCCCATATTTGCTAATTTACACCTCGGCTCAGTACAAGATGTGTGGGAAGAGACAGGGAATCCACATGCTGCCAAGCAGTCACAGGAGCAAATCTGGTTTTCCTTTATCTTCTCATGTAGGTTTGAAATCCATATCATCATGGGGAGAGCACTCTGTGATGAAATTCTATTTGTTCGTTGTTGTTATTTAGGAAAAATACCCTGCAAATGACTAGAACCTACTCTGACATTTAGAGGGCGGCAAATGACAGGAGGTACCAGCAAGTCTTGGCCTCATTTCCTGCAACGAAACTCCTAGGGCACCCTGTCCAGAGCCCACTCTCTCCATATGTGAAGCTGAAACCCCTGAAGCTCAAAGCATCTCCAGGTCACTTTGGAACCCTACTCGGTCTACAGCAATGGATTCACATCCCACCCCATTCACTGTTGTCTGCTCAACAAGGACAGAAATCAAATGTCCATGTGTAATGCCCATTTTGGAGTTGAAACCAAAAAGGGGTCAGTTGATGCTAAATTCATCAGTCCCAGGCTGGGTTAGGACCCTGAGGTTAGGTCCTGCTTGGACTAGAGGCAGCTGAGGGATGCTGGGCGGGCACTGGCTTTGCTTCCCTGGGTTCCAGGATGTCATGGTCCTGGTGCTAGTCCTGGCACACAGAGAAGATGCAGGTGGAGGGCTCTTTGGTTGTAGGAGGTGCCAAGAAGTAGGGCTATGTTCCAGCAAAGAGACTTCCCCTGCTTCTGTATCCAGGGTGGCTGTGATGGTGAGTGGCTGAGGATTATGGGACTCCAGGGAAATTCTCTTAGGAAAGAGAATTCTATAACACTTGGAATTGAATCTGTTTCCCTTCAGGAAATTCTACCCTCACTTGAAAATTTCTGGCTACTCAAAGGAGGTGAAAATATTGGGGACATGAAAAACTTTTATCTTCCAATATGACCTCCAGCTAAACACTATTTAAGGAATACATCTTCTGGTTTAGCTCTTTAATATACTATTACCTATTTAATCTTCCCAATAAATCTGGATTACTTTAGTCACTTCCTAGATGAAGAAATGCACAGAGAGGTTAAGCAAATTGACAAAGACACACAGGCTATAAAGTTATAGAGATCAGAACCTAACAGGCCATGCCTGACACACTTATTGCACTGGCAACTTTTAATTCTCATCTGATTTAGGTCATGGCATCAGACTAGATGTGATGATAAGTGCCTAAATGTGAGAATGTTAAGACCTATTCTCAAGTAGAACAAATACCAGGCCCTAATTGCTACTGGTGATTGTATTCTATTGACCCTTAAAAAAATAACTAACCTCATGGATCTCCAAAGCTTCCAGTGAGCTAATCACCTAAAACATATTTGGTTATGTGAACTCATGGTGAATCCAGGTGAAGTCTGTGGGGGTGTTCACTGTCTTTTCAACCTCTCTGTAGGTTTGGAAAGTGGTTTCTTGCATATGCATGTACATATTTCATTTGAAGGGGTGGTGCAGGCTGGCGGGAAACAGACAAAAAACAAGGGAGCAGAGCCCTCTAAGAAACATTCAGAAAGAACAAGCTGGGGACACATGTGGCACAGCAGTGGCAGGCGCCTGCCAGTCCCTCACCTTATTCTGAGGGTTTCCTGGTGGGGGCTAAAGACAGACAGCTCCTGCTTTCAGGGAGCTGACAGTACAGAAGGAGGCAGAAAACAGGTCAATGGAGTGTGTCCGTCCTAACACAGAAGCACGTCCAAGGTCAGCAATGCATGGGGCCAGAAGCGTTGGAAGAATCACCTGCTGCAGTCTGGCTGGGCGCCATCCCGACTCTGCTGTGGCTCTCAACAATCACCCTTTGCCCTGAGCCTGTCAGACCAGAAGGGGGAAGAGGTACCGGAGAGTGTGGCAGGCCTGAGGAGGAGGCCTTGCTCCTGACACCCAGAGGCCACCAAGGGTTTCCCCAAGATCAGCTCCTGCAGCAGGGGAGCTGAGGGGTGAAGCAAACGCAGGGGAAAGGGATGTCTCTCCAGAAGTCTGGCCAGGAAAAGGAGGCAAGCGATGGAGGGCAGCTATACAAGAAGGAGGGAGAGGTCACTGCTGTGAGAGGAGCAGAGGACGCTGAACACAGGAGTCAGGCAGAGGAGCAAAATACCTCTTTGAAGCTGTGTGCTGCTCAAGACCATGCCTGGCCCACCCTGGGAACCCCAGTGCCAGAAGCTGGAGCAGCAGCTCTGCTGCTTGTCTGGACCAACTTCTTAACCCAGCTGATCCTGCATTCATCGATGGTCACCCACATTCACTGGCCAGCGCTGGACTTCCTGCCCTGGCCCTGGCCTTGGGTGTAGAATCCTGGCCCTGACCTGTTCCTGTTTTATGGCTATTTTGAGCACCTAGTATACTTATTACCCAGCATCTGTTTCTCTCCCTTCAAGGGAAACTCAAAGTTTCCCTTGGGAATGTTTTCTCTCTAGTCACGTGAGGCTGATTCTTAACTGCACCCCAGCTCCAAGTATGGGCCATCACCCAGCCCTGGTCAGCAGGACTTCTGTGCAAGTTGGATAGAAGCAGCTTTCTTTCCATAGGTTGCCTATGGACTCAACGTACGCCTGGATCTGCCACTACATGGGAAGAGGCCCCCAGAGAGGATGGGGTACCAGGATGGAGACTATTTCCTGTGACATGACTACACGTCCCTGGATCCACCAGTACCTGAAGCAAATGCTCAGCAACTGAGAAATGGTTTGGCTTTCACATGCGTGTTTTGGAGGTTGGTTCTAAAACAATACTAATCGTAATGAGAGCAGAACAGGTGGAGAAAGAAAAATCACTGTAATGAATTCCGAGCAATCACTTAGTACTCCTTGAGACATAGAAGGCCTGGCACACTCTCATTATTCCATACTCTCTCCTCTGGGCCTCGGCTCCCGACCCAACAGTATCCTCCTGACAAGGCAGCTCTTTTCTGTTAGCTTTGTGTGCATATGTTCCTCAGCCCTTTTGGTAAAATGCTTTAAAGTGACTTATTGACTTGGAGAATTAAAATTACCCCACTTCATGCCAAAAGTCAAACATCTGCGAGGTCAAGAGTGGGAAGGGCTGGAAAAGGGCAGAGGGGGGCACACCTGGAGACAATTAGAAAACCATTTCTGGGACACCGCACAGAGGCATGAGGCTGGTGGGGGAAGCCCACTCCTGCCATGAAAGGCGTGGCTGTGGGGGAGACAGGGCAGCAGCAGCAGCCACAAGGGGAAAAGATGGAGGTGGAACCTGCGTGGACCTGTGCCTTAGCCCTTTGAGCACAGACCAGGTCTTGCCTGCCCAAAAGGGGTGGGCAGAAGAGACATTTTAGGAGGTGGTCTACAGGGATGGGAGAAGGCACAAGTGTCTGGGTGGAGTCTGCGAATCGAGGAGTGACATGAAGGAGCCAGCCTATGGCTAATGGGATATCCTGGGGTCTACCTTGGCCACTGATGGAGAAGGACAGAGTGAAATCTGGCTCTCTGGAGAAAATAGTCCCATGAAAACGCATGCTGCTACCAGATACGTAAATATCCTCACTCAGGAGTTCTGGTTATTCACTTGCCATTGGTGAACAGGAAGTTGGGAAGAGACCTTCACTGTTGACTCTCACAAGCCACCTGAAGCTCTGAAGATGACACTCTGCTTTGGAGGTGCTGATTGGCAGCTGCGGAGCTGGGGAAATCGCAACTCTTACATTTTCTGAAAGAAGGAAATCTGTACACTCAAGGACTGATAATGTAGTCCACTTGGCCCCACCTCCCCAACAAAGAGCTGACAACCCTTCCCTCAAGACTGTTGCTATTGATGACACTTGCTCATTCATTTCTCACTGGAAGGAGAGCAGGCAGAGTCAAAAGTAGGAAGTCGGCAGCTCCAAGAGATATAGAGATCACTTCCAACCCTTTCAGTGGGAGTAACTTAGTCAGCAAGATGTAAAATTTGCAAGTTCCTGTGGTCCGTACTGAAAAATCAGAACTTTCCACTAAAATCAAGAATTCGGTGCCTGGCATTATTTCAAAAGGGTGAGACTTCAGTCTCAGAATCTGTTGGGATGTCAAGATTACTCATAACAGTGAACAAACAGGTCCAATGTGGAGTTCAATGGGGCAATGACTTGGGGAACTCTCACCTCCTGTATCCTTGTGCAATAGCGAGGGTTGCTCTCCTTCCTTCTGTGAGCTGTGCAGAGCAGGCTTGGTTATGCTTTCAAGGCACCTCTATTTGTGAGTCCCTTCCAAGGCCTTGTGCATAATGTGTCCTTTTTCTTTTCTTTTTGTACTAGGGATCGAATCCTCCAGCACTTAATCACTGAGCCACATCTCTAGCCAGTTTTTTTTTTTAATTTTTAATTTTGAAACAGGGTCTCACTAAGTAGCTGAGCCTGGCTTTGAACTTGCTATCCTCCTGCCTCAGCCTACAGACATGAACCACAGCATCCAGCAAGCATCCTTTTTCTTAAAGAAGACCCCCCACTTTAAATAAACTCGAGGTTCCACAATTTCCTGCCCCTCTCAATCCTTAGAGCCAAGTCTCCTTTGTCTGAAAGCACTTGAAATGTAATTAGTTTGCATTTGCAATCAGAATTTGGGGATCCAGAATAGACTCAACAGGGGTAATCAAGATGATTACAGATGCTTTTTTTTTTTTTTGAGAGAGAGAGAGAGAGAATTTTTTAATATTTATTTTTAGTTTTCGGTGGATCCAACATCTTTATTTTATTTTTATGTGGTGCTGAGGATCAAACCCAATGCCCTGTGCATGCCAGGCAAGCGCGCTACCGCTTGAACCACGTCCCCAGCCTAACAGATGCTTTTATATCGCAGGCAAGCAACAGAGTTCAGAACAAAGGCAATTCCTCTGGCCACTTGATTATATTTGCTAAGTCTGAAGTTCTGATTTGCTGGGGAGATTTCTCCTTGCTGTTTCTACCTAGGCCAGAGGTTAGATGTTTTAAACCACTGTCCAAAAAAAATAAGAGTGCATGCTTTTGTGGATATTGCTCAGAAGCCTCTCAATGATTGGAAAGACTTTTATGGGGCACCATAAGGGTGGGATTCACACTTTCCCTTGAGACTATGGCTGAACAAAACCCCCTAAAATGGCTGAGAATGCAAGGTCAAATGCTGAATGACAGGTCGTTTGGGGGCTCTTCTTCTTGGTAGACATTTATGCATCATTCCTGGATTTCCAGGCTCTACAGGGGAAGACAGTGAGTCATACTAGGGAGTAAGGAGGGGGCATTCCTCACGGGATGCCCCAATAGAGCTGGCTGCTGGCAGATGTGAACACCCAACCTGCCCACATGACCCCCCTTGGCACCACACTGCRAAGAAGCTGGGGTGGTTCTCTCTCTGCTTCTCTCCCTCCTGAATTCAACTGGAAGACCTGACCCACGGCCAACCTACTTCTAATCCTGGCATCCAGTCAGCTCCAGTTCCTTTTATTTCTACTCGGAGTTCTGCCAGCTCTGTTCCTAGCTATGGATACAAACTGCAGAGGCATTTCCTGTTCCAGGTGGTTTTGAGCAGAAAGCCAGCAAGTGTGGGTTGAAGGTAGGTGGGGTAAAATTCTTCAGGAACTGCTCCCAGCAAATATGAGAGTAATTCAAAGTTATACTGGGTAACTTCCAAAGCACCCGGCCCCGAGTGGAAACAAGGCTTGTTGGAACGAACTAAGTTTAGAAACATAACCAGCACGGACCACCTTCGGGCTTGCTCTTGTCCATGTGCCAGGCCCCAGAATATTGGGATTATGATTTTTTTTGGATAAGATAAGGGGACCAAGGCTGACTCCAAGCTCCCAAGGAGGTATAGGGCTTCTGGGGAGCTAAATTGTTCAGAGACATTTAAACCAATGTCCTTGGGATGGAGACTGGCTTCTCTGAAGTGCACACAATGAAGTAGTAACTATGTACAGGCTTATCATGTATTTCTCAAGGAAAATGCTTTTCCATTGGTCAATTTCTGGTCCTGATTGGACACCACTGAGAAATTCTGAGAGGCTTCATGGGTTGCAGTGAACTCAGAGGAAAGGAGGACTTTGGACACACTATTAAGCCTCTTGGAACTTCAGTTTGCAACTCTATAGCACATTTATTGGGATTAGGAATCAGGCCTCTAAGGCACATCTTGGCTCAGTGATTGGGATCCACTATTATGGGTGTCACTGTTCCTTTTTGCATGTGTGGTCCATAGGCTTCTGAAGTTAACAGGGACAGTTATGAGAACTAGCCATTCTGGGCAGCACCCACCTGTTGTTACTTGGTGATCCTAAGGTGAGTTTCAGTAAAGAGTTCATTTTTACTCTAGAACTTAAAAGGATTCTGATCCCCTTCTGTTATTCTTATACTGTCACAGAAAACCTTTTTTGTTTTCTCCAGGCATTTGGGACTGGGGTCAGGCAGAAGAATGGTGTTGGAAAATCCCAGAAGCCAGAATCTGAGGCCACAGCACTTATATGCAGGGACTCCTGCTGGTGCTTTACGGAAGAACCAACAGGTTGACCTCAGAATTGGGTTAGATCTTAGAATAACCAGATTATGATTTTGTGAATAAGGATAAAAGATGACCTCAGCCTCCTGTGGAGGTCCAGTGTCCCTTGAGAGCAGAAATGTCATTCCAGGTAAGAATAATACATCCCCAATGCACCAAATGTGAAGTATAGCTTTTGTGGGTAACATTAGGTGATGGGGCTTCTGATGCCAACATTGGTGAAGTTGATCCAGTTTCTTTAGGTGGGCAGAAGGAGAAGGGCTGGGCTCTTTGGGGGTGGGCCATCACTCAGAGGAAACTGCCAAAAGCAGCACAGGCCCCATTTCAGATAGCATTTATAAGCATTGTTCTATTTGTATAGTGACAGCTGGGACAGCTGCGGAGAAGTGTTGGCTTGACTGGGACAGTGTCCATGCAGAAGAGGTTGGGAAAGACTCCAGGGCTGACAAAGACCAGCATGCATGTCCACTTGAGAGATGGCAAGGTCCTACCCTGGCAGCAGGAAAAGCAGCTGCCATCAACCTGCCAGCCCATGGGATGGAGGCAGTGGAGGCAGGCAAGAAAGCTGCAGAGGAAGAGCAAGGCTGCCTGGTACCCAGGAGAGACACCCAGGGGGCTGGGGTGCAGCGAGTCCTCCTGCCTATTCTAAGGCAGGCATTTGTGGAGTATCTTAGTGCTTCAAGTATTTCCAAAGTCTTACATAACAGGATTGTGGTCTTCACTGTACACTGGCCTATTGGGGTTTTGCTTTTTGTCTGCCTCATTAGACTCTGAGTTTCTCAAGTAGAGACCATTTCAAAGAAAGGTGTGGATCCTTTGTTGCAGTCTACAAAGGCAGGGAAGAGGACAAAGGTGCATCTTTTTTCTGTCAGTGATAAAAATGGAAATAAAAGGATCTCTTGTGTTACTGTAATTTAACCCAAAGAGTTTGAAACCACAGAAATCAAGCCTTTTTTTTCTTTTGTTTTCTGTTTGAATCTCAAACAGCAACTTGCAACACAGGTTGAGAGATTATGATATAAAGGGAGCTTTGAAGAGAGGACCCTGGGTTAGAAGATCAGCTACCTCTAGTTTGAAATTGAACCCAATCCAGGAACATGGGATTGGAGCTGGCAAATGAACATGGTGGTAGTATTTCTATCCCAGTGAACCAAGTGCAGGGGCAGTCTCTGGGTGCACTGATGCCTGTGGCCCACCTCCAAAGAGCCCAGCCCTTCTCCTTCTGCCCACCTAACGAAACTGGATCAACTTCACCAATGTTGGCATCAGAAGCCCCATCACCTAGGTGCAGTAAAGAACACTCACAGTTCAACTCAACCATCCTGGTTCTTGAGGACCAGGCTGACCTTTGCTGGGGTCAATGGTGAGGCTGGAGATTAAACCTAGGACACCTTCTCCGTATGAGTAAAGGCTTCGCTCAGTGATTCTTCTTAAGTTTTTAGGCTTTAACCATGGTCCTACAGAATGTAACAAAGGCCAGCCGGGAATGGAATCACATTCTGTGCAGAGATATAGGTACTTGTGCGGGAAGTCAATGGAGTTGGTGTTGGGGAATTTGGGGCACACAGAACTAAGGAAAAAAAAAACATATTATTCTATATTTCTATTCAATTTATGGTTGTTGCTCTTTTCCCAGCACACAGGCCATCCCCAGAACCATGGACAGTCTGCAAGCACTTCCTACAAGTTGGGCGCTAGATGCATGCTGCTTGGGCTCATGTTGGATAGGGCTCTCCTGGGGTGACTTTGGGAAACCGATGCTACCCCAGGGACTTACAGCTTCCTTTACTCTTCTGTCATCATTTTCCTTCTTGTTCAAAGCTTAGTGCTTCTGATTCCATCCCCCATAATCCATATTTGGCTGCAAGTTAGCCAAAATTATCGAACTATTTTGTCCCTTTTGAGTACTCGGGTCATTACAACTAAAGGTCAGGTGTAAAGTTAGGGTTGACAGGGAATCAAATTTAGCAGAATAACCATCAAAAACAATTCTCAGAACATAAATTGTGAATTAAATCATTTTTGCTTTACCCAGAAAACTGTGAGCTGGTTTATCTTCCACCACCCGGATCCTCCGAGCTCCAGCAGGAATGACAGCAGCTTCGATATAACCTGTGGCAATGAATGACAGACAAGTGAACCACACCTCCCACACCTCCATCCTGCACCAAGTGCCTACACAGCATCCCCCACCCAAATCCACCCTATCACATCCCATGTGGTGGATTCAGAGACTGCAGGTTGGAACCTCAGAAATCAACGCAGACAACTAATGTGCCGTGTTCTCTCTTCTACAGCCAGACCTCTTGTCCATCCAGTTTGCAGAAAGTGCCAGCTGTATGTGACATAGGTTAAACTGAAACTCCTCTCCCTTGAATTTATATGTTGAAGTCCTCACTTTCAGTACCTGAAAGTGTGACATCATTTGCAAACAGGACAATTGCAGATGTACTCAGTTAAAATGAGGTTAGGGTGAATCTTTAATCCAATATTACAAAAGATTTTTTTTTTTAAAAGAGAAATTTGAACACAGTCATGCACACAGAAGACACTATGAGAACATGAAGGCAAGATCAGGTGGTGCTTCTTTAAGCCAGGAATGCAAGGTGCCAGCAAACCACCAGGAGCTAGGAGAAAGGCCTGGAACAGATTCTTCCCTGCAGGCTCAGAAGGACTCAACCTTGCCAACACTGTGATCTCACATTCCCAGCCTCTGGAATGATGAGTCAACAGTTGGTTGTTTATGCCACCTGGTTTGTGGCCCTTTGTTACAGCAGCCCCAGCAAATGAGTACAGCCTGGAATTTCTCATGAATTACACCTCTCTGGTGAGTAGGTGAGGAGGACCCTAGAGTGGGAGCTGCCCATGCTCTGACTGTGCTGGGTGCCCAGAGGGGAGGTATCATGAGGATTCAGGGAGGAAATGACTGAGGCTGCCAGGGCAGAAGTCAGCAACTGGTTAATGCCTCGTTAACTCAGCAACTGAATCAATAAATGAGCGCAACATGACACTGAGATTCTTAAATGCAGGCTACTAATCATTAAAAAAAATTTTTTTCATTTGCTTCAGCAAATGAGATGAGGAGCTCAGTTTAGATCATGAATCCTATCCCTGTGGTTCCCAAATGCAATCATCAGAATCAGCAGAGGAGTTTAACCTCCGCAAAAAATTGGAGATGTCTCAGCCCAGCTCCAAAGATTGTGGAAATAAGTAACCCAAGGGGTTTATTCATTTATTAATTTTCCCATACTGAAGTGGCTTTATTTTTATTGTAAAAATAGTACATGACAATTCAAACAACATAAGGCATAAATCAAAATCTACCTATACCACATCACACTAAGAAAATCACCTCTAAGTAAGTAATATTTTGGTGTTCGATCATTTTTCAGCATCTCTTGGTGCATATAAAAACATTATTTTATGTAAATTGGGTATTATGTGTGCTTTTAAGACACCAGGAACAATTTTAAAATACAGTCATGTGCTATATGAACTTTTATGTAAAACTAAGCCAGTGCCATGTTTATAAAATAATAATAGTAACTTTTTTTTTGTTGTTGTACTGGGGCTTGAACTCAGGCGTGCTTTATCACTGAGCTACATCCTCAGTCCATTTTTTACTTATTTTGTGAGACAGGGTCTCACTAAGTTGCTGAGACTGGCCTCAAACTTATGATCCTTCTGCCTCAGCCTCCCCAGTCACTAGAAATAAAGGCATGTGCCACCGCTCCCAGCTAATGTATCTTTATGAAAGACAACAACCCACACATGGTCTATGCTGTGGGAAATGTGATTACAATATACTCGCTCTGAAGTCTTTGTAATATCTGGGAGAAACACAATATGATGACCTTGGTAATACACAAAAACACTGGGCTGGCTTCCATATCTCAGCACTCTAGATCAAGAGAGAACTTTCTTTAATCTCACAAGTGACGGGGGTCACATTCTCACGGTGAACCATCTTTTCAATAGGAAGTGCACCCACATGTGTTAAATGTTACTGGTGGGAATGTACATCCTCATTCTGTTTCTGATTACAGTAGGAATACTTATATTATTTTTTCATTTGACTATAAAGTGGGTTTAGTGTTATCTATATGGGAACATAGAATGTATAACATGTTTCACATCTAACATGCATTGTGTATAATAAAATCGTATGATGGAAGTATACATGTATTACCATAATAAGAGTTTTATTAGGAATGTAGGTTGAATTTTTTCATATGCTTTTTCTATATCCAAGTGAAAGATTATTTTATTTTCCTCTTACTCTATTAATAGTACAATTCTATGTTCATATTTTCTATTTAGCATATTTCCTAATAACAAAATAACTTCATACTCCTAGAATAAACCTTACTAGATCCTAATGTTTTTAATATGCTGCTGAATTTTGTTATTTTAAAAACTAATATTCATATTATTCTACTTATTTTACAACATCATTTGTAAGAATGGTTGGCAATTGTGTGTATGCTTTCTTTATTGAATTGAATTTTAGTATTGGTATTCATCATCCTGTTTGATTTAAGAACAATTATCATTTTGGTACTTGTGCTTGAACACAGGAACACTTCTCCACTGAGCCACATTCCCAGCCATTTTTAGTTTTTATTTTGAGACAGGATCTCACTAAGTTGCTTTGGGCCTTGCCAAGTTGCCCAGGCCAGTCTTAACTTGTGATCCTCCTGCCTTGGTTTCCTGAGTTGCTAAGAATACAGGTGTGCGCCACTGTGCCTTGCTTATTCTTGATTTAATAAAAAGTGTTTTCTGTGCTTCTTCTGAGATAGTTTATCTGCATTTGATTTTCAATTTTATGTACACATAAATCACAGTTGGTTATTAAGATTTTTCAATTGCTTATTTCAAATCAGTTTTAAACTTTTTAAGAGAGAGAGAATTTTTTAAATATCTATTTTATTATTATTATTTTTTTTTAGTTTTCGGTGGACACAACATCTTTTATTTTTTTTATGTGGTGCTGAGGATGGAACCCAGTGCCCCGCACATGCCAGGCGAGCGCGCTACTGCTTGAGCCACATCCCCAGCCCCCAGTTTTAAACTTATTTGTAGAATTGAACAAAGTAATCTCTTATGATACACTAATTTCCTATTGTTTATGTCCCTATTTTTTATAATTTTACATATTTGTATTCTCCTACTTTCTCTTTTGTTCACCAGAGGATCAAACAACAGATAAATATACTATTTAGTTCATCCTCTCCCCCACTGATACGTTTTAGTTATTTTTTTTTTCAGTGTTCCTCTGTAAACCTTCATATTTATATTTCTATTTTGTGACTTATGAGCTGTAAGTGAAATTTGTTAGTCCTTGAATATTAAAAAATGAGAAAATCAGCATAATACACTGCACTCCACTTTCACCCCATTTCAAATTTCATTACATCATTTCTATGTTGTATTAGTGGATGACATCTATCTTTGGCTTTCTAAGGCAACTTCCATAGTTGCTCTAGTCTTAGTTCTAAGGATGAATTTATGTTCATTATGTGTCCTTTTGCCAATTTCTCTGACAAATTCTTGCTTGTCCAAGTTTGTTCCCTTTGAGATAGGCTTGTGGAAATTATATCTTCTTAAATGTAATGTATTAAAAGATTATGGTTCATTGACTTTCTACTTGAGTGTCAATTTGGCTGGTATAAATTTTGGGGTCATACTTTCTCTGAGGCTTTTACAGAAATTGCTTCCCTGAATGTGATGTGGTGAAGTCTAAGGACAATCAGATACTTCTGCATTATTAGTCACTTAAAATTTAGATGGGATGCTCCAGGGATTCTTACTTTGCAAGTCTAATAAGCTTTAGGATATTCACAGTTTGATATCAACTTTTCCTGGGATACAAGGCTGTATTATTAGAACAGTCACCTTTCAGTGTCTGTGAGGAATTGGTTACAGGATCCCCTTAGGGATACCAAAACCTGTGAATGTTCCACCTGTCATAGAAAATGGCATAGTGTTTGCATATAACCTATCATTATCCTCCCACATACTTTAAATAATCTCTGGATGACTTATAATATTTAAATATGATATAAATCCTCTATAGATAGTTGTTATATTGTTTAAGGAATATTGACAAAAAATGTCTGCTCATGTTTAATAGAAATTTAATTTTTAAAAAATATTTTCAATCCATACCTGGTTTGAATGTGCAGATACAGAAATGGTGGATAGGAAGGACCAAGTGCATACTTAATTTGTTTTCTGATTTCTTCTTTTTCGGGGGTGGGCATCAAATTTATACATGTTTTCTGCCCTGTTTCTTCCACAGTGTTCATTATATCCCTGATTCTCTGGACGCTCCCTTCTTTTCCATTTTGCTGTGCTTGCTCTTCCCAGTGAGATCCTCTGTGCTCTCCATGGTGTTCTGCAGGGTCCATTTTCTCTGCACTCACATGGACTTGGTTTCTGTGACAGATTCATGAGCTTCTTCCATTTCTTTCCTCAACTCTGTCAGGTCGTATTTCATCTCCCTGCTGCTGGATGGTATCCCTTTGTCTTCCTTGAGGTCTTGTATCTTACTTACAAGTTCTTATTTTATTGAGGTTATGGTTTAATCAGTTTTTAAAATTTATGTCATACATTTGGTTATAATTTTCATCTTTTCCTTGGACATCTTTTTCTGGTCTATTTTAAATGTCATTTTTTCTTGTACTTTTTATCTTCTACTGATTACAGTGTATTATATCGATTACAGTGTATTATATAGATCCTGTATTGGTTCTCTTTAAAATTTTATTAACAATTCTTTTTTTTTTCTTTTTTGTGGTGCTGGGTATTGAACTCAAGGCTTTATGCATGTGAGGCAAGCACTCTACCAACTGAGCTACATCCCCAACTGTTTACTACCAATTTTTAAGTGAGAAAAGTTCTGATTGTACCTCTACTTGCAGTAAATAGTTTTGTGTGATCAGGAGGGACAGGACAGTGCTGGGGGATAATAGGACTTTTTCCTGCTTTATAGTAAAGTTTATTTGAACATAGTTTTGTGTATATTAGTGAGTTCATTTCATTTTTAAACAACTCATTTTAAATTTACACAAAATATACATGAGCTTATTTCTCATTATAAAGATTTAAAG